CCCCCCTTGGCACGGCGGAGAAGCCCTTACAATACTCCCTTTCACCAACCCGGCGTGGCGGAGTGCCAAGCGTTGTTTTCACCCTCCTGGTGACGGCAAAGAACCTTCTCATTTTTCTCCCTTCTGGAGAAGGCAGAGTACCATCGAGGTCAACGAACGTAGATGAGTCTCCCTCTTAGAAAGCCTCCCACAAGTTCTTCCCGGGCCACAGGAGGAGCAAGTTGTAGCAAGATCGGAGCAATCGTGTGATCTCCCTCACACCTCTTCTCCCTCACCAAGCTCACCTTCTCCTTCCTCTCTTAACCCCTCAAACTTCTCAAGAGCTCTCTCTAGGATTTTCTCTCTACTCACATTTTCCTCTTCTGTCTCTCGCTGTCAAAATATGACAAGTTTTACACATAAAAATGGGCTCCAAAATCCCTGAGATTTCAAAAGTAGCCGTTACAATCATACAATACGATTATTGGTCGTACAGTATGATATGTACAAAATAGCTTCGTCCTGGTACGAAGGTGTACGAATAGTTCAAAAATAATTCGTACAGTACGATAATATATCGTACGGTACGATTCACAACACACTACTCGTACAGGATGATAGCCGGGATGATCAAATGTCGTCTCTGTTCATTGTATGGTACGATCTACATCATACTGTATGAATAGTGAAAATTAAGGCATCATTCATGACAAATTCCAGGACAATAAAATATCATCTCTGTTCATCATATGGTATAATAGTAATCGTACAGTATGATTAGACAAAAAAACACAGGATCGTCCAGGACGATCTCCGGTACGATCAGAATTTGTCTCTGTTCATCGTATTGTACGAAGGGTTTCGTACAGTACGATTTTCAATTTATAATTAAGCCTTGATTTCTTTCACTAATCACGAGTTAAATTAAGTATGTATCTAAAATAGATCGTACCGTACGAACGTCGTCATACAGTACGAATGGCGCAAAATATCATACTTAACTTATCATGACGGCTAGGGTTTTGGATTTGAAACATATTGTACCGTATATTAGTATTCGTACAATACGATGTGTTCACAGAACATGTGTTATAATAGTAGATCATACAGTATGAAATAAATTCATACAGTACGATTACCAAAGAATGAAAAACTATATTTTTTACTTTTTAAAAAAACCCTCTCCCCCTGTGTGTGTGCATGATTGCTCAGACTTTACCTGCAGTTTGTGGCCAAACTCAAGAAAATAAAAAATAAAATAAATAACAAAATTCATTGTCCCACTCATACTCCTAATCCAACTAGTCTTGAGTCTTCCCGTTGTCCTAAGTGGCTTGCGATCTTCCTGAAATGTTAGTACTCACGGACAATAGCAAACATTAAATGATATTCAATAAAAAGTAGTTTAGGCAACATTATTTGGCATCATCAAAATCTCAACCTCGGGGTCATGGGTCACAACATTAGCTTATGCATCAAGTGATATTATTACTTCCGTATTAGTGTGCCTTCGGGCTAGTTCCTTAAGGTTTAACAACCTTCTCGAACTTTCAATCTTCATGCAACTCTTCTTTGAATTCTTTCAACTTAGTAATAATGGTATAGCTTTGCATATGGAGAAGTAAAAAATTATCTTCATTCTTAATATAATTGTCATTTTGATTTTTTGAAGAAGATGATGTATGTTTGATTCAACCCATTGCTTAGACTTTTGATTTCTAAGAGAAGAAAGTATAATAGTCACTCAAGAGTGGGTAAGGATTGAAAATAAAACTTTCTCCTAATTGATTTTATATATTTTAAATGGAGAGAAGTTTGAATTTTTTTAAATTTCAATCATTAAGGCCCGTCGAGGCTCTCCGGCATTCAAAGGTATTGTGCCATGGCGCTCCCTTCTTCTCTTTCTTAATTTTTTTTTTTTTTGAATAAAATTAAGCAAAACTTAACTTAAATGTTAGGATTGCCTCCTTAGCAATGCTAAATTTATAGTCCTCAACCATACTTGATAACTGACTAGACAGAAGGTTAGGTTGCCTCTCAAGCAGCACTAACTTTATAGTCATCAGCCAGATCTTGATTGAATTTCCATTTTATTAAGGTGGATGATTTCTATTCTTCAATTTTGTCCCATTTGTATCTCCTTCATTTTCTTTACGATTAACTTCAATATTACTACAAAAGAAATCCAATGGGTTTGCTACTCACTGAATTGTAAGATGACTTAGTTAAGTCCAAACTTTTAATTGAACCAGCTTGATTTTATAATTGAGTTCCCAATTGTATGACAACATCTTTTAGTGGTGTTTTCTTAGTTCCATACTAATTGCTTTAATTAAATCCAAGAATGACATGCTAGTCTTGGATTGTTATTAGCTTGATTTTGATTATTTCAATTTGTGCCTTAGTTATTTTGACCAAAATTCTATTGATTTTCATCATTATTATTTGATCAATTAAAATTTTGGTGATTCCTCCAACCTAGATTATATATACAAATTTATATTTTTAAACCATTGGATATCATTTTCTTTGATTGATCTTTTATTTTTCAAATATAAAGATTAAACAGAATTTAAGCATAAAGTGCTCAATTTCTTTGAATAATCATTTTCATTCTCCATCCACTCTCTTAGGATTCACCCTATGAGCAGACCATTGAAAATTATTTATTATCACTTCTTCAATTAATTAATAAGCATCTTAAAAAATTTTGACATCAAAGAACCTCCACCTGTAACATCAATTATTTCTCTAAGGGATCCTACCAATTTATTATAAAAAATTTGAATGATCATCTAGTTAGGTAAGGCATGGTGAGGACACTTTCTAAGCATATCCTTAAATCTCTTCTAACTCTCATAAAAAGATTCTCCTTCTAACTGAGTAAAAAAAATAATATTATTTTAAGCTTGGTAGTCTTAGAAAGTAGGAAATGCATTCTGAAAAATTTGCGAGCCAACTCATTCCATATGGTAATAATGCATGGGGATAATGAATTTAACCACATTTTTACCTTATGTTTTAGAGAAAATGGGAATAATCTAAGTCTAATGACATTATCACTAACACAATTATACTTAAATATTGCACAAATTTCTAAAAAACTTGTTAAATATTGGTTATGGTTTTCAATATGAGTTTTCCCAAATTGAGAATTTTATACAATTTGAATGATTGCAAGTTATAATTTAAAATTATTTGTTTGAATGACGCGTTTGTTTATGCTTTGGTGAATTTTATCTACTGAAGGGTTTGCAAAATCCTTAAGAGGTCTAAAATGATCTAAGTTTCGAACAGGGTCGATCATTTTAAAAATCTATTTGATAATTCTAATTTTAGAAAGCGTTATCTCAATTTCAGAATCAAAATTTAAATATTCCTCCCTTCTATGCTTTATAAGCATGCAACCACATATATGCAATCCTTAAATTAAAATAAAAAATAAAAGAATATAATATAACTAATTATATAATTGATTCAATAATAAAGTAAATTTATAAATAAAATAAATTCTCTCCCAGTAAACGTGCCAAAAACTTTATAGAGGCGGCGTAGTAACCTAAATAATTGTAAAAATTATTTAGGGCTCTATCAATCCCTAAACAATGCCTAGATTTTCATTGATATAAAAATTATTAAAATCCAACTTAATATAGGTAAGAATACATGTTGAATCAAGTAATATAATCATAGAGTAGATTATTGATCCCACGAGGAAGCATATTTATTTATAAATATTATTATGGTATATTTCAACTACAATAATTATCCTACTCAATTGGAATAAATTTTTTTATGGAGATTCAATCACTAAATTTTAAAAAAAAATTAAATGAAACATTATTTGGATAATTTATTTTGGATTATTGGAATATAAATACAATATATTTTTTAATGATTTTCTTTTATATTGATGTTATTCGGAGCATATGCATCACTGACCGCTCATTTAAGCATGAAGAGATAAATGACAGATTAAACTCTTCCAACCTAAATACCAATCTAAACTCTCATAGTCTATCATCCTAGGAAAATCTTAGTAGAGCAAATAAAGCATGTACTGTTAAAACCGCCTCGTGATAATTCATCAATATAAATTTGATATATGATAAGTATTATGCATATGCTTGCATCATACAATTCCAACATACCTAGTTGTGCCTAATTTCCTATTCATTGGCTCCACATTACACATCATATTAACTGCACATATGGCCACTATATACATGAAGATATGATATATTGAAAATATAATAGAATTATTGATGAAGAGAGCTCATTAGTACTCCATATTTCATTTTTACCATCAATCTAAAACTAGAGAATTTAGCTAGACATGAAAAATAAGTGAAACATATTCATTTCATTAATTTTATAAAAGAAAGAAAGCACATAAGAAAAGATTTCACCAGATGGGTTCAATGATCTCCTCTACACTCTTCCTTTAACTTATATAATTGCTTTCACAAATACAAGCCAAACACTCTAATAGAATGTATACAGTACTTATTTGAACTTCCTTAGTTGTCACTCTTAAGAAAAAATCAGAGAAGCTATAAAGACTGAAATTAAATAAGTGATTGAAGTCCCCTATTAGCATTACAAACATACTATTTATAGAAACATACAAAGAATGGATTTTGATGCTACAAAGCTCGAGATACTTACACTGCGATGCTCATAAAATGAACTAATGCTGCAGCACTAAAGGGTTTCCTCCGCTATGGACCCACTGTTTAATGAATCGATGCATCGTTTCGCTAGTAGATAATGAACTGAAAAGTTACAATTGTAGCACCATGGCGATGCTAACGATTAAGCGATACAACATCCAAGGGACACTCTCTTGAGTTAGCGACACTAGAATTTGGCGCCGCAACATTGTGTAAATAAATGCTGGGCTTTGCAGCGCTAGGATAGTTGGATGGGCTTTGCGGTGTTGACTCGTCCGATGCTGTTGAGCTATCAAATAGAGAATAAGCACCGCCATATGCAGCAGATAAGCAACATTGTTGGTGAGTTTCTCAGTAGGAGGAGAATGGTGAGTGGGATTGTCTATGTGGGAAGTGGCTTTGACCATGTCTTTTGTAGAACTAAACTCCATGACCTTTGATGAGAGCTCTTATGTGAGCCATAAAGATGCATTTTCTAATGCACCGACTTATGGACTACCTATTGAGCAGTTTAAAAGACATGAGAATATGCACTATTTTTTATTTTTAAGAAAAACAAGATATATGTTGGAGCACAATCAAATTAAAAAAAAATAATTAATTAAAAAGATCATAATCGTAAAGATAGATCATCAGAATGAATTTTAAATTCTTAGATATGTTTTAAGATAAGTGTAACATAAATTATTTATATATTACACTTATTTCATAATATATTTAAAATTTTAAAAAATCATTTGATAAAAAATCTAATCAGAATGCTTTGACCCAGCTCTTTTCCCTAAATTTGTACCACAATTACTTTTTTAGATATTACTTCATATGGCTTTCCCGTGCATTACTTAGGGTGCGTTTGGGACGGCTGCTGCTGTCGGTAAAGTAGGTTGTGAAATTATTGTACATAAAGCTGCTTTTTAAAGTTGCTGTATAGAAATCAGTCAATGTTGTTTGGGTAGTACTACTGCCGAACTGCTGTGCTGATGCTGTTTGACAACAAATTACCTCGTTACCCTTACATATGTGAAGATGAATAAAATTTGTTCAAATTTAATTTTTTTAACTCTTTATGTTAACAATTTTGATATAAAATATAATTATTTTATAAATTATTTTATTACTTTATACATATAAATACTATAATTTTTTTTTTTGGCATTGTCCTATCCTATTTCAAAATAATTTGTTAAAATTTTAAATTATTTAATATTACTTTATAAAAAAATATTTTCTCGTAATAATATAAATACATTTTGGATAGTTGTCACAATAGAACAGTCCATGTTCTAATACAAGAACTAAAATCATCAGCTGAAAAATAAAAATTTGATAACGTCACACAAATCTTTTCTTCAAAGAATAACTGTCTTAACCTAATATTATAAAAATAAATATAAAAATTCAAATATTAGACATGTAACTTCATAAAAATTTGCTGTATCTATGCAAATTCGACAATTAATATTTTTGACAAATATGTGCTGCCAAACTCAGAACTTTGGGTATGGTATTGTAACATTACTTTTTTTTAATGCATAGCTCTTCATTTTTTCTTTTTCTTTTTGTAAAAGTTCGCAAGCATCAAGACCGAATAAAAAACTTTGTAAAAAAGATGGAGACCTGCCAGCATCCTCTGGGCTGAACTCAATGTTCTCGCACCCAAGCCTCCTCGCATATCCCACCATCTCCCTCGCAATTCTCACCACCTCCTCCCTCGTCTTCCTCAACTTATGCTGCATAAGATTGTCAGATCTCCCACTCCGTAAACGTCGTCGCTCCCAATATATTTATTTATTTTTTAAACCCTATCACCTTCTGCTTCTCCCTCTCCACTGCCCAGCCCCCCCATCTCCGGTGAAGCTTCGTCCTCAAATGGCCTCCCAATCCCTTCACTTCCTGACCCCTGTTAACCCCTCCCGCTCTCTTACCTCGTCGACTTTCCTACGACCATCGCTCCTACCCGTGAGACTCTGCCTCTTCCGCAGCTCCGCCGCCGCGCATACGCCACCACCAGACCTTAATCCATCACCGGTTCCGGTGATCCTCTCATCCACAAATGGCATCGGTGGTGTCTCTATCGTTGCGGCCGCATCGGCGATTGACATTGATGCGGTGACGGAGGCGGAGCTGAAGGAGAACGGGTTCTGAAGCACTCGTCGAACGAAGCTGGTATGCACGATCAGGCCATCTACATGTGAAGCGGAGCATATTGAAGCGCTTGCCGTCGGCGGGATGAATGTTGCGAGGGTCAACATGTGCCACGGCACGCACGATTGGCACCGACGGGTTATATGACAGGTGCGCCGGTTGAATGATGAGTCTGGGAAGCCAGCCTCAATGATGTCGACACCGAGGCGGGAGAGCAGGCGAGCGACGGTAATCTTCTCGCTAATGGTCATGGTGGTGCCTGGAGATTGTTCACAGTCGCATAGAGTTGTGTCGAAGATGCAAACGTAGGCGGGATCGGTGATGAGGTTCGGTTTGTAATCCGGCGATAAATGTAAAGGCATTCATGTATTTCTCATACCTACGAACAGTGGGAAGCAGCCGAACGCAGGAGGCTTCCTCCGGACATAAAAAGCAACCGCGGGACGCATAAATTTTCAGACCGGAGCATGACCGCGTAACTCCAAACCACCTTTAGGTTACGTTTCGTGCCGCACAGTAGGGAAAAAGCCGTCCCAAACGTACCCTTAAAAGCCTATATGGAGATTGAGGGATTTTGTCTAAAAAAATTATATCAAAATATGCTAATTTTTTTTACATTATGATGATGTTATTTTTTATCATTTGTACATATCACATATTATCTCTCAGTATAATTAAATTATTAGACAATTTAATTAAATTATCAAATAAATATATTTAAGCTATTAGATACTATAACTAAATAATTAGATATTCACAAGCATAATAATTAATAACTTAATTATATTAACTAATAATTTTTCATATTTATCAAATAATTTAATTAACTTAAATAATATTTTAATTATATCAAGAGATAACATATAAAATATAAAATTAAGAATACATGATAAAAAGTTATCTTATTTTAATATAAAATGCATCAAAATATTTTAATAAAGTAATTTTCCTTTTATCTTTTTTTGTTTTTGACAATTCACCACAATATTGAAAAGTTCATAATAAGAACCATTATGACACATTGGCACAAGCAACGAAGTGATGAATGAGATTGTCATCCTATGCAGCTCTGCTATCAATCAAGAAGTCCTGA